GGCACTAGATAATAGAACTGGACTTGATGATAGAGCCAGTACAGGCACAATGGGCTGAATGGCCTCCTTCTGCACCAGAAAGGAACCAGAGCCTGTTTCTCTAGGTGTAAATGCATTAGAGCAACACAACAGGTTCATGTTACTATCCTTGGAATGGAGGGTGCATGCAAAGCATAATAATGTGTCACTACAAGAATATTTTGCTTGCGGCTGTCAAAGATTCTGAGCTTTGAAAGCATTTTTTTTACTGGAAGTGAGGAGGAAAGAATTGTCTGTAATGGCTAATTCATAGGATTTGGAATCATGCATGAATTCAACAACATGAAAAGCATTTTTCTAATTACTTTGCTGTGTGATTGTCCCTGTTCAACAAGACGGGGAGATAATACAACACTTACTATTCTGAGCATCCAGTGTCTGCGTCAAACACACCCGAGGTCGATTATTGTGTGATTAGATACACAGTAAAGTTCCCTTCTGCTTTGACCCGTCAATGTATCTCAGCTCAAACCTCAGAACAGAATCAATTCCTGGTGGCATCAGTATGAGATTTGTGCAATTCTTAAATTCACTTGAATGCTCTACCTTGCACTTACGTAGAAAATTAATCATCAGTTGCCTCCACTTTGAAATTTTGTCATAGATGATAAATTAATTGTAAATACTTCCAAATTTTTCAGTTCCCTTTTAGAGCTGATAATAGTGGACATGCTGAAAAAATGGACAGATCAGAACGTTAGGCGAATGGATATTGGATGAAATTAAAAGTAGGGAAAGTGTTTCTCTTTGCAGTAGGTTTAAGGGGAGACAACATGCCCTAAGAGATTGAAGATTAAAAGATAAGGATTTGGAATTCATCTTATTCAAATAAATTTGTAAAATGGGACACTTGATGAAGCAGTAAGGAAGCATAATGGGGAAAAAGAGAACTTATGATTTTTAAATAGGGAGAGAAGGACAAAGAAACAAATGCTGTGAATTTCCTCAAGATTTTTCCTGATCTACCAACATTATGCTATTGAAACCCTGTTGAGCAGCTAACATAGAATTTCTCCTGGAGATAGCAAGATCTTCCCAGGAATTTCCCAACAAACTGAAGCAGAACTCCAGGCAAGAGCTGGACCTCTGCAGAGGCTGAGTGTCTAGCAAGCACATTGAAAATTATTTGATTCATTTCGCAGAATTCTGTAATTCTAAGTGTGGTTTGTTAAAGTTGTTATTTTAATTGCTGTAGAGGAACCTGTAAGAAGGAAAATAGTGGACATAAGCTCATATTTTTTTGTGATTTGATGAGCTAGTTACAAAATGGTTTGCTGCAGTTTGGTATTTGAAAGGGAAGCAAAGCAGCAGGATTGGCTGCACATAGGTACGTAACATGATTTTGAACACAAAGACAACTGAAAGATCATGAAGCAGGGATTCTTTATTCCCCTAGTCTCAACTTATTACATGTATGAAGGAAAATTAAGGCTAAGCAAGAAAAGCCACAACATTTACATGGAATTAAGCGTGTGGTCTACATCTGAGGAAATCATTTATCTGTCTGATCCTTCTCCCCTTGAGGCCTCCTTCCTGCAAAGACATTTTTTCCTCTGGAAATGGTCCATTAGACTGCTCAAGCTGTTCTGTTCGGTGTCCTCCCTCTGTGTCGCCACCTGCTGCTGGAGGTCCTGGCACAGCTGTTGCAGCTGCCCTCCTTCACCATTGCTGCTTGTTGTGGCTGGGAGTTCGGATACATGTAGATTACTCAACATGTGATAGGAAAGCTTCAAACATGGCATTCAGTTTTAAAATGGGAGCTATCTAAAATGTACAATACAGATAAGCAATAAGGTACACAAGGTATCGAAACATTATAGAGTGAAGTATAGTGTAAAAGTTTTTGAAAGGGCAGAAAGGATGGGGAGCCTTCATCTTTGGAGGATGCCCTTTGTGTATCAGGTAACCCCTACTATTAGATGATAGTACCCTGACTTGCCTTTTCTACAAGCCACACCTCTTCTTTGCGCCGCCATCTGCAACCCCCATAAAATTCTTCCCTGTGACTCTTACCCGGAACTTCCTTATCGAAAGCTACTATTGAATCTATATTCACCACCCTATCAGGCAGTGCAATCCAAACACGGTTCGTTGCACAAAGGAGTTTTACCTCATTGTCTCCGGCTTTTATGGAAGTGAGAATTGGTTTGGACTGTATACTGGAAATGGGAGGGCACAGGATGAGCAAGGATAACTGACATGGACTGAAACGGTAAACAGTGCTTTTTGACCATTTATGGCAAGTGGTTTTCTAAAAGTAGTGGGAAAGTTTGAAAATTGCAAGACTTTTAATTGTGCAAATTGATTACAATTTCCTATTTATCTCTGATTGACTATTTTATTATGTGTGTTTTGATTTTGCATTAAACATAATGGAAACCAAAAGGTATTTAAATGGAAAGAACGCTACACTAAGGGTGGCATTGTTGGCTAGCACTGCTGCCTCACAGCGCCAGGGAACTGGGTTTGATTCCACCCTCAGGCGACTGTGCGGAGTTTGCACATTCTCCCCGTGTCTGTGTGGATTTCCTCCGGGTGCTCCGGTTTCCTCCCACAGTCCAAAGTTGTGCAGGTTAGGTGGATTGGCCGTGCTAAATTGCCCATAGTGTTCAGGGGTGTGCAGGCTAGGTGGATTAGCCATGGGGTAAATGCAAAGTTAATGGGATAGGGTAGGGGGATAGGGTCTGCATGGGATACTCTGCGGAGGGTTGGTGCGGACTCTTATGGGCTGAATGGTCTGCTTCCACACCGTAGGGATTCTATAATTCTAAAATGTGGTTAAAGTTCTGTTCTCTTTCAGCTTAATGTGTGGAAATGGGGTTTAATTTGATAGTACAATTACCGTTTTGGAATTCTGCATGTTTGTTTTATGTAATATGTTTCATCAAGTTACAGAAGCTAGGTGACATTACTCAACAATATTTCTCATAGACGCAATTCTTTCAGGGCTGTTATTTCTAAGGCTAATTCATAATTGATGTGCAAAAGAACAAAGATATTTCCATTGATATATATGAGACTTCACATCTGCACATTTTCTATTGTTCAGAAAACCATCTTAAAGTGCTTAGCTTGCACAGCTGATGTGTTCTAATTCAGCAGCCATTCTGTGACTGATTGTTAAATTGGTGCTTTGTTACAGCGACTGACCCAACGAGCTATTTCCCCGGAGAGGGAGTGAGCTGTATGAAACAACTATTGCAGCTAAAATGGTTCTAGTCCACAGCTACAATTATCTTTGAAGAACAAAAATGCCATGTCTGCCAAACGTATGATTCTAAAGCATGGTGAATATTTCACATATAACCCCTGGAGTAACATTTGTATAAAGCAAAATTCAGAATCGAGTTCAGCTTCAAACATATGCTATGTATATAACTGTATTACTGCTCTCATTTTGAATCTGTCAAAGCATTTGATACAGATGTGTTTTTATTTCCTCTCGTAAAGAGGGACGCTGTTTATCTAAGAAACAGTAAAATGCGAAACTGACCATGTTAAGTATTTTTGCTGCTGAGCACACAAATGTTTTCAAGATTTGATGTTGACATCAAAATTGCTGTCATACCCATTAGCAGACTGAAAATCCAAAATGTATGAAACCTTATGTGCTGAGTTTGTGAATTCATATTACAAGGATGTTGCTGGGGCTAGAGGTTTTGAGCTAAAGGGAGAAGCTGAATAGGCTGGAGCTATTTTCCCTGGAGTGTCAGAGGCTGAGAGGTGACCTTACAGAAGTTTATAAAATCATGCGGGGCGTGGATAAGGTAAATAGACAACATCTTTTGCCCAGGGTGGGGGAGCCCAAAACGAGGGGGTGTAGGTTTAAGGTGAGAAGGGAAAGATTTAAAAGGGACCTAAGAGGCAACTTTTTCACACAGAAGGTGGTGCATGTATGGAATGAGCTGCCAGAGGAGGTGGTGGAGGCTGGTACAATTACAATACTTAAAAGGCATCTGGATGGGTATACGAATAGGACGGGTTTACAGGGATATGGGCCAAATGCTGGCAAATGGGACTAGATTTATTTTGGATATCTGGTCAGCATAGACAAGTCCCCACTCCATCCTCCACCCTGCCATCTCACCTTCTTTATTGCAAAGAGAATGGAATGAAAAACTATTAATACATCATTAACAACGTTATCTTAACATAAAGAACATCACGAAATATGCTCTTATTCAGACTTACAGACTGTTTTTGTCATGTATACAGCCAATGTTAAAAAAACTTAAAGTTGCATAAGAGCTTTAAAAACACCCAGTATATATTGAGAACATATTTGCAATTGACAAGTTGCAATTGAAAGCATTTTCATGCAGAAATATTAAAAAGAGGATGGCAACATTCACAGTCTGAAACAAAAATAGATCATTGAAGGTCTACAACATATTGCGAAGCATTTGTGTGAGAAAGATTTGAGGGTGACTTGGTGGTTAGCACTGCTGTCTCACAGCGCCAGGAACTCGGGTTTGATTCCAGCCTCGAGTGACTGTCTGTGTGGAGTTTGCTCATTCTCCCCGTGTCTGCGTGGGCTTCCTCTGGGTGATCCAGTTCCTCCCACAGTCCAGAAGGTTGTGAAATTGTTCTGTAGTGTCCAGGAATGATCAGGTTAGGCGGATTAGCCATGGGAAATACAGGGTTACAGGGATTGGTTGGGTTGCTGTTCGGCAAGTCTGTGCAGATGTGATGGGCCGAATGGCCTCTTACAGCACTGTACGGATTCTATGATTTCTAATGTAACAGGACAGAATAAATACTGATAGGTGGTTAAATCCAAATGTGTGCATCAAGTACTGATCAACTTGTGTGTTTCCAATATTTCTACTCTTAATAATTGTACCCAACATTGCACTTCACTTTAAAAGGGATGATTTGAACAGAGACCTATCTCGCCGTGCATGAATTAAAAACTAACTATCTGAGAAAGAACTTACATTTTATTTTTGTTTCCATTAAAGCGTTCCTGGAGATATGGAGCGTTGATATTCATCCAAATCCAGATGACGTTAACAAGAGGCAGCATCACACAGCGCTGTATGATTGCAGTAACCTGATTGTGAGACGTGGTCAGTCTTTCCAAATCACCATTACCGTCAGCCGAGCATTTGATGTGGAAAAGGACAAGCTGTGGATTGAGTTTCTGATTGGTGAGTACGTTGCAAAAAGTGACAGAGGGAACCCATGTAGCACATTCAGATTAGTGCGCGTGCACCTAGATTCCTTCTCGTTGCAGAAATCTTCGAAACAAGGTGAGATTATGTGACTCCTGCTGTGAATTATCATCAGTTCTCGATTGTACTGTCTAGATTCGAAGTGTTGAGTGCAGGTTCAGCAGCAGTTGTGCCTTGGTTGACCAGATTTTCTGGCTGGCACACATTGAAAAGTCTTAGGGAAGGCCTGCGATAATTGACCTGTTCGGTAACCGATGGCAAATGGCTTTAAGAGGGGGAGTTACAAACATATGAACCAAGATGAGGAGTAGACCATCAGCCATTCCGGCCTGCTCCGCCATTCAATATAATCTGATTTTAGCCTCAACTTTACATTCCTGCATATCCCTGATAATTTTGCAACCCCTTGGTAGTCAAGGATCAATCTACCGCTGTCTTAAAAATATTGAGGGATTTTGCATCCACTGCTTTTATGGAAGGGAATTCCAAAGTTGTAGGTAAAAAGTGAAACGTTGGATCATTATTGAAATTAGATGTCAAGTAATAACTTGTCACGAAACTGGTGCCACCGTTTCCACCAGCACTTTTTTTGTGCTGATTTTAGATGTTATAATTTTAGGGTGCAGCTATACCTGAGCTTGCCAATCCTGCAGCCTTGCTTTGGAGTCTCCGGGAACTGGATGTTCATTTGCTGGACCCTTCCATGAGCAACGCAAGGAGCAAGGTCATAAAGAAAACCAGTAGTGGCGTTAAAATCAGCGTTTCTTTTTTTTTTCATACCTCTATTGCATTGGAGATGTGAAAAAGGAAAGCTGTTGAGGGGCAATGACAATGACATGCCATAGAACGTAGAACAGTACCGCACAGAACAGGCCCTTTGGTCCACCACATCTGTGCCAACCATGATGCCATTCTAAACTACTCCCACCTGCCTCTACCAAAACCTCTGGGAACACGTGGCACCACAAGTCCTTTAAGGAAGGAAATCTGCCATCCTTACCTGGTCTGGCCTACTTGTGAATCCAGATTTATAGTGATGTGATTGACTTTGAACTGCCCTCTGAAGTGGTCTAACAAGTGACTCAGTTCGAGGGCAGTTATAAATGGGCCACATATCCAGTCCCCCCTCCCTACGTGTGCCTGCCCTCTCCCCCCTCCTGGCTTCCCCAAACTCTCCTCAAACTTCCTGGGTAATTAGCCTGCTGTTGCCCATCCTCCTGTCCCCTGTCCTGCCCCCATCCTCCTGGAGTCATTCTGTTCACTGATTCTGGAGCTGCTCCCCTGACTTCAGTTGTGGATAGAGGGTGTGAATGAGCGGGTGAGTGAGTGAGTGATGAGTTGAGGGTGAGCCATACAGTCAGTCTCCAGTTTGCTAGCTACCTGTCACCAGTAAAACACATCTGGCCACAGCTGAGGCTTGCTGATTGTTTAGAGGCAAATTATATCTGCTTCAATTTCTTAGCGCTTCTGGTTAGAGGGCAGATCGACAGAGTTACAGTTTTCTGTTGATTTTGTCTGATTCTTTTGCTTTGGAGCTGGTCGATAGAAAAGACGACCATGACATTATTGCCAAAGTCCTGATGAAATGTTTGTCCCTCAGTCAACATCACCAAAAACTTATAAGCTGTCTGTGGAGTCTTGCTGTGCACAACTTGACTAAGCTTTGACTAAGTTTGGTGTTGATGTGCTCTGTTTGAGGCACCTTGGTGTGAAAGTGCTGTGCGAATACAAGCTTTCATTTTGAAAGCAGGTTATTTCATTTATTAGTCAGAAGGACCAAAGGTCTTGAAGTTGTAGAGCTGAACATTACAATTTGGTGTCGGAATAATGTCAACAAACAAGAGATCCATGTAACATCCTTACATTACTAACCAGAATGTTTGAATATTTACCTGAATGAAGATAAAGAACTAAGACTGACAGGTAGCATGATAGCATTGTCAATTCAACTTCAGTTGCCTGAGACATTTCTACTTTCACACACCAGGACAGACGTGAAGCAAGTACACTGAGTACATAAAATTAAACAAAGAATTGCAGATGCTGGAAATCAAGGAGTTGGGACACCATGTTGCAGCTGTATGGGACATTGGTGAGGCCACTTACAAAATACTGCATGTAATTCTGGTCACCTTTCTATATGAAGGATGTTGTTAAATTTGAGAGGGTGCAGAAAAGATTTACAAGGATGTTCCGGGACTGGAGGGTTTGAGCTATAGGGAGAGGATGAATAAGCTGGGGCATTTTTCCCTGGAGCATCGGAGGCTGAGGGATAACCTTATAGAGGTTTATAAAATCATGAAGGGCATGGATAGGGTGAATAGACAAGATCTTTTTCTCAGGGTGGGGGAGTCCAAAGCTAGAGGGCATAGATTTAAGGTGAGAGGGGAAAGATTTACAAAGGACCTGAAGGGTAACTTTTTCGCACAGACGGTGCTGCGTGTGTGGAAAAGGCTGCCAGAGGAAGTGGTGGCGGCTGGTATAATTTTAACATTTAAAAGGCACTTGGATGGGTATATGAATCGGAAGGTTTTAGAGGAATATGGGCCAAATGCTGGTGAATGGGACTAGATCAGATTGGGATGTCTGGTCAGCATGGACAAGTTGGACCGAAGGGTCTGTTTCTGTGCCGAATGACTCTGTGACTCTAAGCAGATATGTCATGCAAACAGCAAGTCTCAGCACAATCCGGTTCAATCAAAACCAGAGAGGAAACAGTCAAAGGTGGCAGTGTTTAACTGTAAAAAAACAAATTCCAGTAACATTAAAACGCCCAGATAATTTGGAAAGAAGTATTGGGAAAGCAGGTGGGTAAATTATAAACCATTATTCAAAATGTAACATGAGGTGATTGGGATACAGAACATATATTCTTACAAGAAGGAAAGGACGAAAAGCAAAAACTGGAGATGCTTGGAGGAGTAGAGAGCTTAGAAGTAAAATAAGACATGATAAGAAGGCGTGTAATAATACCAGGGTCAGAGAGAGCCCTAATAGAAAATCAAGCAGAGCCTAGAAAATATGGATGGAAATCAGTATCTGTATGCAGTGCCAATTAAGTGGGCTGCTTTGGAAGGTGTTGAATTTCTTGAGTGTTGCTGGAACTGCATACCTACAGGCAAATGGAGCACATTCTTGCTTTGCCACACTCCTGAGTTGTGTCTTGTAGATGGCTGTGGGGAGTTGGGAAATGAATCACTTGCACAGAATGCCTAGTCCCTGACCTGCTCCAATAGTTCTGGCATTTATGTGGCTGGTCCAGTTGAGTTTCTGGACACTGGTGAGGCCCACACTGTTAATGGTGGGGAACTTAGTGTGACAATTCCATTGAATGTTAGGGGAAGGTGATTGGAGCTTCTCTTGTTGGAGATGGTCATTGCACACTGCGTGTGTGGCACCAATGTTACTTGCCATTTGTCAGACCAAGTTCAGGATGCCACATGCATGCATAGACTGCTTCGTTATCTCAGAAGTTGTAAATTAAACTGAACACAGCGCAATCATCAGTGAACATCCTCATGTTGGACTAAATGGTAGAGAGAAAGTCATCAGTAACCAGCTGAAAATGGTTAGGTCCAGAACATCATTGTAAGGGGCTCCTGTAGAGATGCCCCAAGAGTTAAGGAAGAAAAGTTAATGGAAGGGCAGAGGTATTTTCAGGGAGTATCAATGAAAGGGGGAAATACTAATTGAATCCTTTGCATCAATTTCTATAAAAAGATGTGATAATTGGACACAGGGGGAGATGTGGTAATTCAGATGTCTGTAGATAAAGATGTCTGTAGAAATGAATAAATTAATGGATTTCTGGTAGGAAAGTAATAAGGTGTCATGGCTTGTATCATATGAACATTCGTGAAGTCAGGGATGAAGTAGCAGAAACTCCAACGATAATTTGTCAAACATCTCTGGGTTTGGAAATTGTGCCAGAGAACTGAAATATTGCCACTGTAATACCTTTGTTCAGGAAAGTAGGAAGGAATAAACTGAGTCATCACAGACCTGTCAGCCTAACATCAGCAGTTATAACTTCCTACAGTCCATAGTATAGCGTAAGTAAATATTTAGAGTTATTAAAAACAAGCAGCACAGTTTCGTAAAAATAAAATTGTGCCTAAAAGTGTCATAGAGTTCTTAGATTCACAGAATGACATTTGCAGAAGGAGGCCATTCAGTCCATCTGCCTGGTGCTTTGAAAGACCTCGCAATTCTTCTCGTTCTCCTGCTGTTTCTCGCAGTTCTGTTATTTTTGTTTTCCTTCAAGCATTGATCTGATTTTTCTTGAAAGTTACATTGCTGTTCATCCCAGATTGCAACAACTGGCTGAACTAAAATAAAAAACTCCTCGTTGGACTGTGCTATTCTCTGTAGTTGACAGAGTGTACCATTGAGTAGTCAGTCTCCTTTGTTATAAATACATTGGTGGCAAAGAAGCCCAAACCTCAACACACATAAACAGTTGGTCCTATGCAGCAAATGGACAGGGACATGAATTTCTCTGCTTGTTCACTACTTAAAGGTTCAATCTCAACTTGGAAAACAGAGGATGTCATAAATTTATGAAAACCATACAAAGTATAAGAGCAAAGAGGTTATGGAAACCCATACAAATCATTGTTAGAGCACATGGATATGGTGAATAGTCAAGGCTTTTCTGTAGGGTAGGGAAGTCCAAAACTAGAGGGCATAGGTTTAAGATGAGAGGGGAAAGATTTAAAAGGGACCTAAGGGGCAACCTTTTCATGCAGAGGGTGGTGTGTGCATGGAATGAGCTGCCAGAGGAAGTGGTGGAGGCTGGAACAATTACAACATTTAAAAGGCATCTGGATGGATACATGAATAGGAAGGGTTTAGAGGGATATGGGCCAAATGCTGGCAAATGGGACTTGATTTATTTAGGACATCTGGTCGGCATGGACGAGTTGGACCGAAGGGTCTGTTTGTGTGCTGTACATCTCCATGACTCTATAACTGTA